CCCCATGGAGATCCGGCGCCTTGTTGTCCCCAGGGCGCGTACTGGGCGTGGCTGACGACGGGTGGATTCATCCCCGCCTGGTCGACCGATGAGGAAGACGCCGCCGCGCGCGCCGCGTTGTTGCGGGCCTTCTTGGCTATGGCCCTGTTCCGCCTGTCGGCGATGACTGCTTCGAGCCGCTGAACTTCCACCCTCCACTCGGCGTTCGACAGGCCCGGTGGCTTCGATGGCGGCGCCCTCGGCTTCCTCTGCTTCGGCTGGGCCACGGCGCCAGTCGCGGTTGCCGCCGCGCGCGGCATGGCGTACTTCTTCGCGGCGAGCGGGAGGGGGTTTGGTGGGAGAAAGGCGAGCGAGCGGGAGAGATGCGAGGGAAAAGCGTCAAGAAACGGTGGGAAAAGGCCCTCGGGTCGCCTCCAGGGCAGGCCCACGCGCCTTTTTCGCTTGTGCCGGCTCCCCAAGCGCCCCCAGGGCACCGGGTTCGGCCTGGGTCCGCCGGCATCAGTTTTGGCCCGAGCCGGCGAAAAACGTGCTTCCGAGGACGCGACTGGGGCCTTTTTTTGGCGCCGGCGCGGCAAAATCGCCTGGAAAGGGCCTGTTGGTGACGCGGCTGGAGATGCCCTAAGGGCGACAAGAAGGCACCACTTGCAACGGCGTTGCTCATGACCGTTTTGCCCTTCTGTTTTGGACGATGAAAGGAGGAAAGCTCGTCTCGATCTTGAAAAAGGTGGTTTGCTCGTCCGAGTTCGAACAGAACAGCCGACCGATGATTGCGCTGGGCCCACGTGTCCGCACTGAATTCGGATAGGGACGGCCTAGGAGTGTGGAGCCGGGGGGCGTCATCACTTCACGTGTGCCCCGTGATTCTCTATATGCTGTGGGCTCGCCCGCCCGCCACATGTGCTACGTACAGAGAAAAAAAAGTGCATTGATTCTTTATGCTGAGCAGACAATCTGACTATAGATTTAGAGTATTATCAAGCCAACTACACTAGCACATCGAAGAAGCTGAAAAAAGAAAACGGACGATAGAGATCCGCGCAGAAAAACTATAAAAATACTAATTTATTGAAGCCGTCGTACTATCATCTTTTGCGTCTCAAAAAATGCTGCTCTCACCATGACTTGGGTAAAAAAAAGTGCAGACAAACTCATCCGACTCTACTCATTTATCACTGTGTCAAACTAACCACATCCAAGAAACTGAAAGAAAAAAAATGTAATGAGAAAGATCCACGCGAAAAACTAAAAGAACAGGGTTAGTATTTGAAGCCATCTTTTGCATCGCAATGTTGTTCCACCATGACTTGGGGTAAAAAAGAAGTATAGAAAAAACCATACATGCATAGGTTGGAATAATATCGAAAGTTTTGAAGGGCCAAATGAACCGTCCATCCAATGGGTGCCAACATAAGACTAACAAACACATTGCAGCCAGGCGGGGGGCGGATCCCCAGTTGGAGTGGGGATGGCATCCCCCTCCAATACTGTAAAATAAATTTGACTGTGTATGTATTCCCTCCGTTTTCTAATATAAGATAAGATCTTTTAGCTATTTCAATATATGGACTACATACATAATGCATCCTAAAATGGGTGAACATACATACAAAATTGTGTCTAGATGCATACAAATAAAAAAAAAAGCTAAAAGGTCTCATATTAGGGAACTGAGGGAGTACTACAACACTTAAAATCTATGAAGTTGATTCTATTTTAGAACTATTTGTTCAGATATGATGGTGTTTCGTGTGAATTTTGAATTGTGGCATCCCCGAGGCTGAAATTCCAGATATGCCATTGCGGCTGTTGCTTTGCCGATAAACTATGGGCAAAGAAGGTTGGGGGCATAAAAGATAAAAGATCAAGAACCTCCAAACAAACACGCCTGATCATTGTTGTCACCATGTCGCAGATAGACTCGAGGTTTGGCATCTTGTGCATTTCTTTGGTCCACCACGACATAAGTCTTATCTACTTGTCTTCAAGCAACATTGTGATTTTGTGTACGTCTGCATTATGCCGGAAGTTTCTAAAAAAGGCGACCGCTGCACCCTTCTCTTATCGAAAATTAAATGCCGGTAACGGTGTCAATTTTATTTATTTTTTTATCTTGTTGTTTACTACAATCCATCGTTTCACTTTATGTCTATGAGCTATAACTCCGGAGAATATTATTCGGAACTGTAATTAACTGTAAATATTAAAACCATTAATCAGCCTTAATTACAATAACAATTATGCTACTTAAGCAATGTCATTGATGGAAGATTTGATGTCCAAATCCTAAACTTCAATGAGTTGTACCCCCAAAATGTATGTTGAGAAAAGAGAGGAGGATATCTGGTGTATACTATTGACATTTTTTTTCATATATACTTTTTGCCTTGATGAAACGTAAGAAATCGTCTCCAAAACCCACTATGCTTATCCTAACCTCGGTTACCATATCCCCTGGAAAAGTGAAACCTCTACTACCTAAAAACCTCAACAAAGCGCCAGAGCAGCAACAACCAACAGGTCTGCCATAGAACCAAACCCCCTCAATCCAAGCCGAGGAAAACAGAGCAGGCGGCAGGGCGATCCAGGGTGTGAATCTAAGACCTAGGACCGACGAATATATTGCGGCCAAGTAGGGACGGGTCCAGTTGGAGTGGCACCCCCCTCCAACACTGAAAATTAAATTTTAATGTGTATTTAATACTCCCTCCGTTTTTATTTACTCTGCGTATTAGCTTTGATCAAAGTCAAACTTTGTAAACTCTGACAAAGTTTATAGACAAAAATATTAACATATATAATAACAAATCAACACCATTAGATTCATTATCAAATTACTTCCACATCATATAGATTTGTTATGGTAAATATTTATATTCTTTTCTATAAACTTAGTCAAACTTTAGAAAGTTTGACTTCAGTCAACTCTAATATGCGGAGTAAATAAAAACGGAGGGAGTACTAAATATCCATGAAGTTGATGTCGTTTCTTCCGTTTCGAATTACTCGTCTTAGGTTTGTCTAGACAGGGATGTATCTTTCTAGATACATATGTATCTAGACAACTCCAAAACAAGTAATTTGTGACATGGGGAGTATTTTAGAACTATTTGTTGAGATTGTGATGATGTTTAATGTCAAATTTGAATTGGGGCACCCCCAATGCCGAGATTCTAGGCTTGGCACTGCAGCATGAGACACACCCCTTGCACGACAAGTTGTCGAACTGCTGCTTTGCCGATAAACTATGGGCAAAGAAGTTTGGGGCACAAAGGATAAAAGATCAATAGCCTAACTAACACACGCCTGATCATTCTTGTCACCATCCTGCAGATAGACTTGAGGTTTGGCATCTTGTGCATTTCTATGGATCCACCACGACACAAGCCTTCTCTACTTGTCTTCAAGTAACATTGTGATTTTGCGTAAGTCTGCATTATGTTGGGCAACGTTTCTAGAAAAAGAGCCTGCCGGACCTTTTTTATTGAAAAATAAATTGTAGTAACGGCGTCAGTTTAACATATTTTCATCCTGTGGTTACAATTAGCCATTTTTGTTTTACGCCCGTGAGTTATAACTCTGGCGAATGCTTTTAAGGTGGAGCCGTAAAGACAACCATTAATCGGCCTAACAATAACAATTGTGCAGTGTCATTGATGGAAGATTTGATGTGCAAACCCTCTACTTGAGTGAGTTGTACCCCGAAATACATGCTGAAAAGGTGCCGATTCGTAAAAAAGTTAGAACATCTTATATTTGTGAATGGAGGGAATACTACCGACTACCCGGGAAAAAAAGAACACTGTCGACACTTCTTTTTTCCACATATATGCTGTTTGCCTTGAAATGTAATAAGGGATGGTCTCCAAAACCCACTACTCCCTCCGTCACAGTTTAGAAGGCACAGTTAAATTTTCGTGCGTTTCCACAATAGACAAAGTTTAGGGCGCATTGCATTTATTACTAGTAGCTAAGTAGCATCATCGGTGGGCGTGTGAAGGTGTGTCTCTGGCGGATCTGTCTTTGGTGGATTTGCTCGGATCTGTTCGTTCGTCTTCGTTCGTGTGTCTTCAGGTTGGATCCTTTTGATCTACACTCTTCATCTGCGACGGTTGCTGTTCTAGTGCGTTGGTTCTATGGGACCTTAGCACGACGACTTCCCGACTGTCTACTACAAGAAGGTTTGCCTGGCTCCGGTGAGGGAGGGGCGATGACAGCGGCGCACCTTCGGCTCGCTTCAGTGTTTGTTGTCGTTGCTAGGTGGTCTACGGATCTGGATGTAATTTTTATTATTTCTAGTGTTCGTTGTACTACCATGATTGAAGATGAATAGATTGAAAGTTTTCCCGCAAAAAAAAAAGCTAAGTAGCACTCCTATATACTATTCCTATATGCATGCATAGTGTGAATGCTATTTTTTACCCATCTCACAGCCAATAAATAACCACCTAGGTCTCAGAGAATTTTCAAATACGCCTTCTAAACCGTGACGGAAGGAGTAGTATGATTACCAAAACCCCCGGAAAAAGTGGAACCTCTCTGAGTTACCATAAAAACCTCAACAAAGCCCCAGAGAGTAGCAGCAACCAACAGGTCTGCCGCAGAACCAAACCCCCTGAATCCAAGCCGAGGAAAACAGAGGAGACAGCGTGGCGTGTGCGTGGGTCAGCATAGCACAGCACAGCACACAGGACCCACGCCAGCATAGGATATACTGTACACCACCACCAGCACAACACCCGGCACGCGAGCGAGCCGGGCATTCAAAATCTCGCCACCTCCCCAACCCCAAGAACCCAAAACCAAACGCATCTATCCACGCCGGCCGCCTCCCCACCTCCGAGTCCGTCCGACGGAATCGAATCCACCACCGCGTCGCCATCTTGCCCTCTCGCCGCAATCAAAACCTTCCTTTCCTTCCCTGTCTGCCGCCAGGATCACAACCCCGAACCAACCCCAATCTCCACCTTTCTTTCCTTTCTTGGCCGCCGCCGCCGCCCGCCATGGTGCACTGCAAGCAGCCGCGCAGGAGGCCCCAAGATGCCGCCGCCGTCCCCGGGACGGCCGGTCGCGCGCGCGCCGGGGGCGGGGCCGCGCCCGCGGCGTCGGACCCCGGGTACATGAGGCCGACCAGCAGCTCCGGCGCCAGGGCCGGCCGGGAGGTTGCATCTGCGGCTGTTTCGGCGGCCTCCGCTCCCGCCGCGCAGCCGGTGGGGGCCAAGGCGGCGGCCCTCGTTGCGAGTACGCCGCGCGCGGCCAGGGCCACGTGCTCCTCCGCGCAGAAGAGCGCCCGCGGAGGCGGGGCCGGCGGGTGCGGCGGCGAGGGGCACCGCGCGTGCCGGTACGCCTACTGCACCTTCAAGGGCCACGCGCCCGCGGCGCCGCCGCTGGGGGCCTTCCTGGCGTCCCGGAGGCGCCTCATCAAGACGGAGCAGAGCATGAAGCACCGGGGCGTCTCCGCCTTCCGCGACCCCAAGACCAAGAATACAAGCACCAGCAATGCCGCCGGCAAAGGGGACGACGGGTTCTTCGTCCAGGTGGCGTGTCCCGGCGCCGGCGCCGGCGCCCGCCCCAAGACGGCGAGCTCGGGCTCCTGCTGCAGCGGCCTCTCCGCCGAGGAGGCGGAGTCTCCCTACGTCAACTTCGGCCGCCGGGGTCTCCGGTGCGGGATGACCCACGAGTGGGCCGACCCGGGCGCCTCGGTGGACGGCTCCTGCGGGTCCAGCGACGTCATCTCGGACGGCTTCGCCGACCTGCCGGGCACGGCGAGCTCTCCCCCTCCCTCTCCCGGACGCAAGGAGCAGATTGGTCAACAAGAGGGGGAGGCTTCTTGGGTCGATCAACAAGAAGCAGAGGAGGAGGACTCTGGTGCCTGCGACAGGTCTGATATCTCCGAGGAGCTGGGTCCAAAATACGAATGCAACATGTCTAAAGGTGAATTTCTCTTCCTGAAATCCATTGTTTCTTTCCAGTTTCAGTTTCCACCACATTGAATGAATTCCAGAAACAGAATTTTTGATCGTCGGCGAACAATGTCGCAATTCTGCAGATTGTGGCAGCGTCTCTTCAGTGGAGTCCTCAATGGATGACATATCCAGTGCATTTGGTGGGATGAATTTCCAGGATGCAGGTGCTGATGCCGCGGCAACCAGCCAGGGAACCAAGCTGACCATGTCCAGGAGAAGGACGCCCAGAGGCGGGGAGCGAATCCGGGCATTCAACCCCAGGGCCCCCAACTTTCTTCCGGTGGCGCCTGATCCGGATGCTGAGAAGGTTGATCTCAGGCATCAGATGACCGATGATCGCAAGAATGCCGAGGAGTGGATGGTCGATTATGCACTTCGGAGGACGGTGAACAAGTTGGCCCGTGCTCAGAAGAGGAAGGTGGAGATGCTTGTCCAGGCCTTTGAGACTGTTCTGCCGCCAGTCCTGGGCGAGAACAAGTCCGACGACAAGAAAAGCTTTGCCTGCAACTGATAGGTTTTAGAGGTAAGACCAGCTAGGTGTAACAATCATTTCAAGTAGTAGAATTCATTCATGCAGCACAAATTGTTGGTATGCTGAATATTTCACTCATGATGCGGCGTCGAATCTTTACTTGCAGTTTGGGGTTCAAGCTGGAGCAGATGATGGTAACTGGGGTTCTAACTTGGTGGTCACTGCAATATTTGTGCCAGAGACCTGCTCGGCGAGGGTAGAGAGCTGCTCACCAGCACCTGAGAAGATCTTGTGCTCATAGCGCAGTTGTACTCGAGAGCCGCTAGGGGCCTCGCTCACAGGGTCAGCTGTTCTTCATAGTGTAGTGGCGTAGTGCATGTGTACATAGGTCTGCTGTGCTCATGCTGATATTTTAGTGATGAGAAAATGGGACTTGCAAACTGGCAAGGATATTCAGATGTATTCCTTGCTTGGACAAAGATCAATAAAACTCTTATTGACAGCATGTGTAGCGAGTGCGTGTCTCGGGAGTCATGTGTGATCTTTTCGTGTTTGTTCGCATTCTCTGTGATGATCAGCAAAAGGGAATTTCCAGTTTTTTGTCCATCTTATGGATGTGAATGTTTCCATATGCTGCCCATTTGCAATGTGTTAAGTAGTAGAAACTCTAGAAACACAAAAATAAGCAATTAAAACACCTAACTGATGATTGCTGAGACTCTACTTGTGTTATCAATGCAACAAACTGTTGGTTGCAGGTCTAATTTGGTGCCTAATTGAGAGAGTAGAACAGATGGTTCTGACCTGCTGGGGTGTAACAATGCAGAACAGGCGTGATCGAATGCCATGTCAGGTAAGAAGAGACAGGAGAAGAATTTTCAAATGTTCGACGATTCGGTCCAGAGTTTTTCTGGTGCGCACCAAAAAAAAAAAATCATGTCCTGGCAAACAAATAAACAAGATTTAGCGCGCCTGGTACTTCTTCATTCATCTCAGGTACAACCAAAACATAGGCCCAGATAAATGGCACTGAATGGGACTGAATAGAAACAGCAAGAAACGCTCCAAACAGATATGACAATAAATGGCACTGAATAGAAACAGCAAGAAACGCTCCAAACGGATACGAGAAGAAGGCAGATGGATCAAGCATGAATCACCATGAATAGATGAATAGATGGCATTAACACTGGAAACCAACAGTCACAAGCCACAACGGGTACAAGGTTTGATGCTCTCACCAACCTGAAGGAGGGATGCTCATGCTCAGCTTGATATGCTCCAATCACACCAACCGGCTGTAACTGAAATCGAAGCAGACAATTTACACACATGGTGTGCAGTCCAACAACTATCATGGGCCATCAAAGGATATATCAGCATGCAGTTCACCTCACATTAACAGCAGTAGGGCATGGCAACTCTGAGGAGTGGATCAGGGTCCTTCAGTTGAGCACATTTTAGTGCATTTTTCTCTGAACAAAACATGGAAAGGACAAAAAATGGGTAAATGCTCCATAGAATATCTAATGATTTCTGGAAACGTGCATCTTCAATTTACCACATTGTCAGCATGGTGAAATGGCAGAATGTTTCAAAACTTATAGCTAGCAATGGCAGAATGTCTAATGATATCTTCACTGAGTGCAATTATCCAGACTTTCCCAAGAATACCACAATGGATCAAATCAACGGAAATACCACTATGGGTACACTAGCAAATGCCAAAAGCATCAAGTAAACCAGAGCATGGTAAATGAATAACAGGAAGATGCGAAACTTAGGAAGAAAATATTATTATTGTCATTCATGATGGGAATTTACAGGAGTTCATGGCAAAGAAAGGGTTACACCATAAAGAAAATCTTAATTAGTATCACATGACTTATAACTACATCCTTCAGAAGAACTCGGTCTAAGTGATTCTACCAGACTTCGAAACCAGTGGTGCTTGCAATTTCATTTAGGACTTTGGTTACGGAACTCTTTTCAACTCTTCAGAAACTTGAACATCTGGGCAGTCGTGCAACAGCAACAGAAGGTCCTTCGGAAAAGTTCGGAGCTTGCTTTCCTCTGGTTGACGATTATCCTGAAGAATACTCTCATGAAACATCCACAGTGCACCCTCTGCTGGAATTTCTTGCACAGAATTGTGCAAATCTTCAAGTTTTCCTCTACGCTGGGCATCGAGCAGCAACTTTTCTTTTAGACTGTCAGGAAGACTAGCTAATGCACTGCTTGAAGGACAACAAAAGGAAAATATAATAAATGAGAATGACACAGAGGAACTATATACAAGAAAACAGCTATTTGGTCCTGCCCCCTGCCCAGGCTTGGACCAAACTGTGAAGAAATTTTTTGGGGGAGGACTAACTGTTATGAATGCAACTAACTGTTGGTTGCTGGTCTACTTTGGTGCCAAACTGAGACAGTAGAACAGATGGTGCAAACCTGCTTGGCTATACAATGCATAACAGACTACCGAATGACATATCAGGTAACAAGAGACAGCAGAAGAATATCCAAATGTTCGATCATTTCGTCCAGGGATTTCTGGTGCTGACTGCTGAGTACCAAACATTGCAAATTATGTCCTGCAGACAGACAAAAAAGAGTTAGCATCTGGGCCTGGTACTGAATTCAACTCAGGAGCAACCAACAAATAGTCCCACATGAAACCAAATAAATGGCACTGAATAGGAACAACAAGAAACACTCCAAACGGACATGTGAAGAAGGCAGATGGATCAAGCATGAATCACCATGAATATAACACTCGAAACCAACAGTCACGAGTCACAACGGATACAAGGTTTGATGCTCTCACCAACCTGAAGCATGCATCACCATGAATAGATGGCATTAACACGCAAAACCAACAGCTTGATGTTCCCATCACACCAACCCCTGTAACAGAAATAGAAGCAGACAATTTACTGACATGGTGTGCAGTCCAATAACTACCATGGACCGTCAAAGGACATATCAGCATGCAGTTAACATCCCATTAACAGCAGTAGGGCATAGCAACTCTGAGGAGTGGATCAGGCCCTTCGGTTGAGCAGATTTGAGTGCATTTGCTGAAGCCAGCCGATGCAAACTAGCATTTTCTGTCTGCACAGAGCATGAAAAAGAAGAAAGTTGATAAATGCTCGTTAGATATGAAAAACAATGAGACGAGAGATTTCATCAAATATGCAGTATGCCATTTTCAACAAATATACTTCTACAATACTTAGCATAGTTGTCAGTATTACGAAATGCCAGAAATTATCAGAACCTATAGCAAGAAAGGGGTGACATGATAAAGAAAATCTTAGTATCACAGGGTTTACAACCGCATCCTTCAGAAGAACTCAGTCCAAGTGATTCTACCAGACTTCAAAATCAGTGTTGCTTGCAATTTCACTTTCACTTTCAACCTTGCCTACGGAGCTCGTTTCAACTCTTCAGGAACTTGAACATCTGGGCATTCGCGCAACAACAGCAGAAGATCATTTGGAATAGCTTGAAGGCTGCTTTCCACTAGCGGAGCATTATCCTGAATAATACTCTCATGAAACATCCGCAGTGCAGCCTCTGGTGGAATTTCTCGCACAGAGTTGCGCAAATCCTCAAGTTTCCCTCTACGCTGGGCATCGAGCAGCAACTTTTCTTTTAGACTGTCTTGAACGCTAGCCAATGCACTGCTTTTTTTAAGGACAACAAAAAAAAAAAAAGAACAGTATATAAGAGGAAGTCTATAAAGAAAACTGTAGCTGGCATGACCAGAAATCCACTTCACCTAGTAATTCCCCGAACGAGACCCCACTTGTATCCTTGAGGCGCAGATTGCCTATGCCCAAGATTGAAGCCCTCTTGGGCAGCGTCCTTCCGCCCTTCGGTTATGCCTTCCCTATAGCCCATCTACAAGAGAAACCAAAAGAGCCTTACCGTCAAACTTCTTTGGTATCAACGCAAACTCATGATTCATGATTAATTAATCAACAACCATGGAAGTCAAAATAATTATATATTACCTTATGAAGCTGGTCCTGCAAGTGGGCCCATTCCATGTGTAAGCTGGAACCATGCCCTGGGGAATCTGAATAATCACACCAGGAGGAGTCATCGTCCGCAGCAGCATCTCCACCATTGCCTGAATCGAAATTGGCGGGGAGAAAACTAGTTGTGATGTCATGGAATGCTAGTAATTTTGAAGTTCAAACAGAGCCTACATTGTTTAATTAAGCAGAAACTGTATCCGGGCAACATATTTACAAGGCTAGGGCAGTACCATGGCAGTAGGTTCCTTCCTCCCTCGACGGTGGTGCCTCCATCGAGAAACCAATCTGAACCTGAAACAAACATGGAGCACCAAGGAGAATGGTGTCAGTTGACAGGCATCAACTTGATTTTCCCTATAAGTTTGTTGGCCTCGTGTCATGTCATGCACTCTTATTTTGATCTGTCAATTGCTAATTTTCCCTACCTCTACCATCCATCGAAGAGAGTAAATTGGCATTCAAAAGTATGCAAAATCTGAGACAATCTCAGGAAGAGACCATGAGCATCACAGGAATAGGTCACACGAAACCTTCCCCGCCGCCCCCATCCACCCCGAAACCCAGAGCTGGGGCTTGATGAAGTTGCACAGCTCGTGCAGCGGGAACAGCAAGCAAGAGGAAGACGGGAGTCCGGGAGAGGATGAAGCCTTACCTGGCGGCCGGCGGATTGAGTGCTCAATGGGGACGGCGAGGCCGGGGGGTGGAGGGGCGCGTGGGCTCGACGTGGAAGGGGGCGACGGAGATCCACGGGCAGGAGGACGACGTCGGGTGGGGGCTACACGAGGAGGCGGCGGCGGCGGCGGCGGCGTCGGGAGAACGGCGACGGCCGACGGGATAGAAGGCTGCGGTTCTTTTCCACTTCCTTTTTCTTTTTCGTATAGTTTCGACGGCCAACACAAACACGAATCGGATGTTTATTCGTCACGGATACGGGATTTTGTACTTTCTCCGATTTTCATACAAGGTCATTTTTCATATTTTTCGTGTCTACTGTTTGGCCACTAGTTTCATCTAACAAAATGTGAGTTTTTTTTTGAATATCAGTACAGACACAAGCGGTCATATACACGCGCATACACTCACCCCTATGAAAGCACACACGCATACACTACCCCTATGAGCACCTCCGAAAGACTGAGCCGGCATATCATCTTGAAACATCGTATAAAATGTTACAGAGGGAGCAATATATTTTTGATGACATATAACTCATATTTTATTAAACAAAATTATAAATTAAAGTTAAAAAACTGAAGTGGCTTGGTATACAAAACGAAGATTTTCTTTTTTGCTGGTGGGTATTTTGTACAACTTTAACATCGTATCTATGTGACACTGACTGCCGTTCCGTCGTCTTTTGGCTAGCACACGGTTCGGTACCCCTGGTTTTGCGAACCTTTTAGAATTTTAGAAGCATCTAGAATTGTTTTTCTTTCTCTTTCCCTGGTGTCTTCAGTGTTTTCGTATCTTTTATTATTTTTGTTTTTGTTTTTTTGTATTTTTTGTTTCCTCGTAAATTAACAAATTTAAAATATCACAATTTTGAAAAATGTTTATAATTTTCAATTTTTTTCATTTTTTCAAATTACCTACACTTTTAAAATGTTTATATTTTTAAAAAAATGTTGTGTTCCAAAAATCTTCAAGATTTAATAAATTGTTCTTTCTTTAAGATGTTCAAAATCTTCTGAATAGCAATATTTTTGTTCCTGCTTTGAAAACATATACGGAATTTTCAAAATTGCTCTATTTTTTTAAAAAGTGTTTGTAATATTTAAAATATGTTCAAAATTTTCAAAATGTTTGGAAATTTCTAGAAAATTTTGGAATTTCAAGAAATATTTATTCGAAAAGTGTTTGAAATTCAAATGGTGTTCACATTTTCAAAAAATGTTGACAAACTTGAAAAGAAATTGCACTTTCGAAAAAGTTTGACATTTCTAATGGTGTTTGTGTTTTTTCAAAAAATAGTCACAAATTTGAAAAAGAAATTCTGCTTTGAAAACATGCTCACAAACTTGAAAAGAATCATGTTTTCAAAAAATGTTCACAAATTTGAGTTACGCACGCTATGTTAACCTCATGCTATAGTATCCCATGGTTCTACAATGTCTGCTAATGGACCGTCAGTTGCACTTCGCCCATTTTGCGTTGCGCCCCCTATTGGACGTAACGAGCATCCAATAGGAGCTTCGTATTAGGGCATCTCCTATGCGGATCACCACAATGCCCTCAAACATCTGTAAAGGCCGTCCGAACACTTTTTACCATCCAAGTTGGATCTCAAAAACGGGCTGGGCCGGTCTAGACGTTCGAATCCCATAGACTGGCCCAAATCAAGGAGCTCTTGGGGAGTCCAAACGTCAACTACAGACATTTTTGCTTGTGGTATTTCGGGTAATTTGTGATTACCCTAACCTGATTTTTTAGGTACTAGAATTGTTGGGTATCAGAAAATTTGGACAAACATCGGGTATCGTATTTGAAAACCCGAATGTTCAAAAAACCGAATAACCCGACCATATTTTTGGGTAAACCCGAATGCCTAGCCTGACAACATAGAACTAAGGGCTGTTGTAGGTCATTGGCCCTACAACATGAATCAAATGTTTATTTGTCACTAATACGGATTTTGACACTGCCATGGAATCTGAAATGGTCTTATAAATGTCCCAGTGGGACTAATATATTTGTATGTTGTACAACTTTAACATCATGCCTATGTGACACTGGCTATGTCATTTTGTCGTCCTTTAGCACAGAGCAAACCAAGTGAGCAATTGAAACATTTTTAATATCTCCACTTCTAAAATGTTTATAGTTTTAAAAACTTGTTCATGTTTCAAAAAATCTTCAAGATTTAATAATTTTTTCTTATTTTAAAAGGTTCAAAATCTTCTGAATTTCGTTTTTTGTTCATGCTTTGGAAACATATATGGAATTTTCAAAATTGCTCACTTTCTCAAAAAGTGTTTGGAATTTTAAAAATTGTTCCCAATATTCAAAAAATGTTCGGAAATTTCAAGAAATATTGGAATTTAAAAAAATGAAAAATGTTTGAAATTTGTAATGTTGTTCACATTTTCAAAAAATGTTCACAAACTTGAAAAAAAATGCTTTCAATTTTTTTCAAATGTTGTTCGTGTTTTCAAAAAATAATAAAAAATTGAAAACTAAATTGTGCCTTAAAAAAATTCTCACAAACTTGGAAAAAAACTATGTTTTCAACAAAAATGTACAGCTTTTTTTTAAAAAAACCGAGTTTTGAAAAATTATGTCATCATGGTCCAAACATTACTCTATTTGTTATGAACTTAATACATTAAGAAGCATGCTAGATAGCGATTAAGGGGTGGAGTAATAGTAGTAGATAAAGATGGATGTCAGCCTACTTGTCTCGGACGTAATACCTATATATCAGATTTGATCCTTGCAATTGGCGAGAACAAGGAGCTTGACAACCCTTTTGCCTTCATTGGGTGCAAGTATTTGCTTTATGTGTGTAGGTACCGCTTTTTTTGTTTGTGTCGCATCTCCTATTAGTTCAATAAACCTTGATTTTTAACTGAGTAAAATACCTTTTGCTACTACACTACATCACCCTTCCTCTTTAGGGAAATCCCAACATTATCACAAGTAGCAGCAGTCCTCGACATCCGCCGCCTGATACGTGCCTTATTGCGTTGATGTCAACGTGGAGCTACTCCTTTCCTTGGAGTCTGCATCGCCACAGCTTGTCTGAAGACAGATGCTTGGCGTGGAGCAACTCGATGCTCACACTCTGTTTGCAAGTATGTCCTAACCTGGCGAGCCATCGTACATTGATGTGGACAGGCATATGTTTGAAATGATCCATGATTGAGGCGGAGGCAGAGGCTGCTATGAGGACATGCATGTGGATGACTTGGAGTCCACGCATCCGGGTGTAGGACACGCAACCGGGCATGTACACCAAGCCGGACATGTACATGCAATCCAACACGTATACCCAACGGTCGGATTGCGTCACTAGCCAACAGGAGCGGTGAAAGATCGTGGATGTCGCCTAGAGGAAGGGGGGGGGGATGAATAGGCGCTTTAAAATAATTACGGTTTAGGCTTGAACAAATGCAGAATAAACCTAGCGGTTAATTTGACATGCACAAAACGTAAAACAACTAGGCTCACCTATGTGCACCAACAACTAATGCTAAGCAAGATAAGCAACTATGAGATAGCAAGATATATGACAAAGAACAATATGGCTATCACCAAGTAAAGTGCATAAGTAAGGGGCTCGGGTAAGAGATAACCGAGGCACGCGGAGACGACGATGTATCCCGAAGTTCACACCCTTGCGGATGCTAATCTCAGTTTGGAGCGGTGTGGAGGCACAATGCTCCCCAAGAAGCCACTAGGGCCACCGTAATCTCCTCACGCCCTCGCACAATGCAAGATGCCGTGATTCCACTAAGGGACCCTTGAGGGCGGTCACCGAACCCGTACAAATGGCAACCCTTGGGGGGCGGTCACCGAACCCGTACACTTTGGCAACCCTTGGGGCCAGTCACCGGAACCCATCAAATTGCTCGGGGCGATCTCCACAACCTAATTGAAGACCCCGACGCTTGCCCGGAGCTTTACACCACAACGATTGACCTCCGAACACCACCAACCGTCTAGGGCGCCAAGACACCCAAGAGGAACAAGCTCTAGGGTGCCCAAACACCCAAGAGTAATAAGCTTCTCAAACTTCACTTCCACATATCACCGAGGAGAACTCAAACCGATGCACCAAATGCAATGGCAAGGGCACACGGAGTGCCCAAGTCCTTCTCTCCCAAATCCCACCAAAGCAACTAATGCTAGGGAGAAAAATGAGAGGAAGAACGAAAGAAAAACACGAAGAACTCCAAGATCTAGATCCAAGGGGTTCTCCTCACTTAGAGGAGAAAGTGATTGGTGGAAACGTGGATCTAGATCTCCTCTCTCTCTTAAAAGGAAGAACACGAGCTCAAGGGGATTAGGTTCAATGGGGAAGAAGATCCCCTTTTATAGGTGGGAAAAAAATCCATCCGTTATGCTCACAGCCCGCACAGAGCGGTACTACTGCTCGAAGGAGCGGTACTACCGCTAGGGCGGTAGAACCCCTTTGAAAAACAACAGCGAGGATGCAAAAGGTCAGTAGAACCGCCGGAGCGGTACTACCACTCGTCCTCACGGTACTACTGCTCGACCTCACGGTACTACCGCAAATGGTAGCGGTACTACTGCTTGCAAGCGGTACTAAAAAA